AAACTAAACTGTAATTGGCTGGCTAGTGAGAGAGTCCCATCGTTTGAAGCTGGAAGACATGCTACTTAAAAGGTAAAGGTTCCCCTCGCACATCTGTGCTAGTCATTCCTGACTCTAGGGGGCGGTGCTCATCTGCCTTTCAAAGCTGAAGAGCCAGCGCTGTCCAAAGACGTCTCCGTGGTCATGTGGCCGGCATGACTCAACGCCAAAGGCGCACAGAATGCTGTTCCCATCCCACCAAAGGTGGTTCCCATTTTTCTACTTGCATTTTTTACCTGCTTTCGAAATGCTAGGTTGGCAGAAGCTGGGACGAGTCACGGGAGCTCACTCCGTTACGCGGCGCTGGGGATTCAAACCTCCAAACTGCCAACCTTTCTCATCAATAAGCTCAGCCTCTTAGCCACCGCATAAGTCCTGTAGCTCCTTACAAGAATGACATTTAATCAGTGAAGACATCTAATGACTGGAAACGGAGAATCGAAGTTTGATTGTGATGCTCTCTGCCTAAGTTGCAAAGCATCCAACTCCAGATCTTGAAAATACATCAAAGGCAAAAAAGGGTGTTTACTGTAGAATAAGTTTTTTATTTTACCCGAAACCAGGATGGTAGTGTGATGTTCCATCAGACGTTATTTACAACTTCTAAAAAAAAAAAAAAGTCACACATGCTATATCTTAGAAATGGATCCGAAGGGGACTCCACCACGCCGGGAGCCACGCCAATAAACCCTCGGCCACATTTTGCCCGTGGGAATTCCCTCGAGGTAGGAATCCAGGCGAAGGTGCGCGTCTCCGGTGGGTTTGGAAATCCATCCGAGAAAAGTATCAAGGAAGGAAAACCGAGGGAGGGGGGGGTGTTCCTGCCTGCTGCTTTGCTGGCGTTGGGAAGCCCTTCCAAGTTGACCCCCCCCCTCTTGTTCGGATAAAATGCGTCACGACTCGTGTATTGCACTGAACGACTTTTAGATTTTTTAAAATAAGTTACACGACTACGTTGCAAAAGGAAAAAGTCTATTTGCACACTCCGGGTGATTATTTCTCTTTTTTTTAAAAAAGAAACTGAAGTTATGGAATTTGAAGGTTTAAGAGTTTTCTTAAAACATTTCAGGAACGGTACCATCCATCAAATGATCTGTATAAATAGAACTGCATATTGTACAGAGCTGTTTAAACTGTTAAATTTTTCTTTCTTTTTTTCAAAGATACAATAGAGGTTCATCGGCTACGTACAACTGAAAAGCATGCATTTCGACAGTCTAATACTGTACATTTTGATAAAGGATCAATAACATTTTACACAATGAAATATGGAAAAAGGAGGGGAGGGGGTGGAAATCTTGGCCGGATCATCACTCATATTTCTTGCTCAGCAGGTTAAGGGAGCCTCGTCTTCATGCATTCCCAGTACATCTTTTGCAGAAGTTTTTGTTTTTTATCAGTTAAAAACTATATTGCACAGTTTGGTAGATCTGTATATATAAACCTTTAGTTGTAAGAGCACCACACACTTCCTTCACGGAACACAAGTTTGCAGTTCAATTTTTTTTTTCTCCTTCGCTTTTGGGAAGGCTTTTAAAAAGTTTTTTTTTTTCCATGTACAAGACTCATGCAGATGTTTTCAGCAGACGCGTTGCTAAAGACACATGCAAGAAAATTAACCTTACAATTCGGCAAAAATTGGTTTAGGACTAAATGATTTACTCCAGTTTCACTGCAAAGGAAAAAGAGAGAGAGAGAGAGAAAGAGAGAGAGAGAGAGAGAAAAGAAAACATTAGTGATAAAAGACAGATAAAAGAGAGCATAATCAAAGCAAAAGATTGCCTTTTCTTTTTAAGACTTAGTAGCGATAGGCAATTGATCGTAACTTCCCACGAGCCAACAGGAAAATACAGATTAGTGGAAAAAGAACTAAGCATTAAAAAGCTAAGAGGACATTTAGAATTAGCAAGTTTCCTTCATCCACCCAAAAGCTGCAAGGCGATTAGCGGATCACACACAAATACAGACAATTGTGGAGTCGAGACATTCTTCAGAATTGTACCTTCCCTTTTAAGACCCCCAAAGTACAAACGGAGGGGGGTTTGTAACCCCTCTCCTTGGGGAGGGTTGAACCCTCAACACCTGGAGCCCAAATGAATCTAATCCATCCCTCCATATTCACTATTTAAGAGCGAGTCCGATTAAGGGCTTTGAAAGCGCAGGCAACTTTCAAACAGCATTGTTACTATTGCCTAGCAATGTAATAGCTATTTTTCCTCCAGGGAAATCTACATCCACCCTTGGCGTGTAGGCCACTCATATTTCCAGATTCCTGGGTCTTGCTTGGCGTAACCAACAGCCCTTTCAACGCAACCTGGTCTTAAACCGTTTGGCTTTTCCTATCGAG